TGAGAACAGGTGTTGCTTGTTCTATGTTTCAAGCCCAGAAAGATGAGTTAATGCTTGAAGGAAATGCCATTGAACTTGTATCAAATTCAGCTGCTTTAATTCATGCCACTGCAGTTAAAAGCAAGCATATCTGAAAATTTGGGGATGTTACTCTGTCTCCGAACAGTTTAACGGGCTGACGCATAAGCTCCAAGACAGTGGTTCTCAACCTTCCTGTCACACAGTTCCTCATGCTCTGGTGACCCCATCCTTAAAAGTATTTTTGTTGCTACTTCATAACTAATGTTGCTGCTGTTAAGAATCATCATGTAAATATCTGATATGCAAGATGTGTTTTCATTGTTACAAATTGAACACAATTAAAACATAGTGATTAATCACAAAAACAATATGTAATTCTATATTATGAAATATTTATTTCTTATGACAAATAAATGGAATTTTGTCTTGAAGCATGGTGTAGCCTGGTTAACAGTCTTCCTGCCAGGTACTCGTATGTGGGCGGACCCGCCTGGAGATGATAGAGGAGCTGTGTCTCGGTTCCTAAGACCATCAGAAAATATGTTTTCTGGTGGTCTTAGACAACCCCTGTGAAAGGGTCGTTCGACTCCCAAAGGGGTCGCAACCCATAGGTTGAGAACTGCTGCTCTAAGAGGTGTCCCGCTCCAGGCCAGATGATAACTTAGCGCTATCTGGGATGCTTTGATGCAGTACATTTTTTTAATTGGGGGAGGGGGTGGTGCACGAAGAATCCTGCTTTTTCTACTTAAAATTGAAACTTGGACATAGCCACTACAGAATAGCACATTCCCATTTTTCATGATGCTATAAGTGAATCTGCCACATGTGCTGGCAGCTAACTGCAAGGACAGCCCGAGGGTCAAACCACTAACTGCACTCTGGGAGAAAGATGGGGCTTTTTACCCCCCTAAAGAACAACGGTCTCCGAACCCCAGAGCTGGTTCTGTCCCGCCCTCAGGGTCATTCTGAGTCAGCATCGAGTAGTCGGCATGGACTTGGCGGCAGCGAGAGAGTCGTAGAGAGTTCTTTCTGCTTTTTCTTTTAAATGGCACTCTGGTGGCCATTTTCTTTTGGAGACTTTTGGCCCACGTGTTATCGTTCTCTTAACATGTCTACAAGTACAGTGGCTGGGTCGGAGAGCACCTGCACTTTTAGGAGGCTTTGGACCTGGAGTGCTCACTTGTCTCCCCAAACTCCACTGGGAAGTCTTGCAGTTCACAGTCTCTCCGGCCACGTGAAGACGGTGATATTTCAGTCTTGGTGCGGTCGGTGACCCTCATGGTAAAGAGTCAAGCTTAGTATGGAAATAACCTTTGCCATCTTTCAGTTCTTCAGCTAAGACCATGGATTCCCAAACCTTTGACCTTCCACCCGCTCTTCAGGAAACATCACCACCTCCCACAATGAGAAACATTTGTGCTCTAGTTCAGGGTAGGCCTCATTCACTGCCCCAAGTCTATTCCCACGCAGAGTGACCCCAGAGGGTGGGTACAACTTGCGTTCCCCACATGGGCACTCTTCCCAGGCAGAGGCTGGTGGTTTCAAACTGCTGACCGTGCAGTTGCCGTAACGCACCCACTACACCACTGGGGCTCCTATAGGACAAAGTGTAAGTGACTGCTTTTGCAGCCCCTCGAGATCATTCCAGCTCCCCACAGGGGCTGGGTCACCCACACTGGGAAGCAAGGAGCTAAGAGTAGTATCTTTGGTTGAAGATGTCTCTTTTGTGCCTAGTTTTTCAAAAGTTGAAAGCAACACTTGAATGGCAGCGTATGCAAGAAATACCGGATTTGCCGTCCTTGTATTTGGTTAGTGGGAAGTCAGGTACAAAGAGGGCAGGATCCATTTCGTCCACCTGAAGCAGTCACTTCCTGAGGGCTGATCCAGTGAAGGAAATAAATCCTCTGTGGGGATGGGCCCCAGATGCTGTAAGGTGCCCACAGCCAATAGGCTGCCGGTCCCTACTCAGGAAAAAAGAAGAAAAACCTGTTGGTGGTGGTATTCAAGGCAGACCTGAAAGACTAAACCCTTCCCTTGGGATATGTGTGGAATGCCCCAGGCAAGACTCGCCAAGAGCGGGTGAAAGCGATTATCTGGGAAACTGGAGTACAATGATCATCTGTACTGTTTGCATTACTTACTGTATATCTTTTTCTTTCTTTAAACCAAACTATACCAGCAGCTGGAAAGAGTTGCCATTGAGTTGATGTCAACTCGTAGCGCCCTGATAGGCCAGGGTAGAACTGCCCCTGTGCGTTTCTGAGACTGACTCTTTGAGGGAGTAGGAAGTCCTGTCTTTCTCCCTCGGGGCCACTGAGTGTATGTTAATGAGGGAGGAACAACTCAGAAAAGAAGGGTGAGGATAAGTGTACAACTTGAAGAAAGTAGAAATGTGTATACGTGTGGGGGGCTATGGGGGGGCATGTGTTTTTCTCAATAACAGTAATGAAAGAAAAAATTTGATAAATATCAGTATATGCATATATAGTCAATCTAACGAGCACCTCCAGGGGAGAGAAACTGGGCTTTCTACTCCTGTAAACAGTGACAGTCTCAGAAACCCCAGGGGATCACTCAGAGTCAGTATTGACTGGGTGGCAGGGAATTTGAGTGTTTCGGGTTGCATGCTGACTAACTCACAAGCATAAAGGGAGATTTTAAGAGAACTAGCTTAAAAAAAAACAAAAAGATCTTTGTGCTTACAAAACAGAAGATACAATTTCAGGGGAAAACATCTTAATAATCACCAAAAAGAAAATAAACCCTTCTTGCCCGTGTTTATTTAAGATGCTGACATTAGGGAGATATGGGTATAGGAGTTTTGGGGGCATAGGTCAACCTGCTAACCACAAGATCAGCAAATAAAACCCACCAGGCGTTCTATGGGAGAAAGATGAGGCTTTCTGTTCCTATAAAGATTTTACAACCTCAGAAACCCAAGTGGGCAGTTCGACTTTGCCCCATGGAGTTGCTGTGACCCAGATTCAGCTCGATGGCTGTGAGTTTTTTAGTATACTATCTTTACAAGTCTTCTATAAATCTAAATTGATTGGTAAATTCAAAAAAAAATTTTTGTTTTCTATTGTTTTTTCATTTTTTAAAGAAAGAAAAGAAAACCATATTCTCTTCCTTTTGCCAAATCCTATGGTTGCGGGGAGGGGCGGTTTTCTACGCTCTTGCTGGGCCATTTCTTTTAAACAATCAGCCTGCTCTCACCCCCAGTTCTGCTGCCTCCTGATGACCATTTTCTGTGCAGCAGTCTTGGCCATGTTCACTGTTGTCATTGGGGTAGAACTGTTCATTGACGTTTTATAATGGACATCACACGGGGTTTACCTCAACTGGCAGATGCTTATGAAATGCACACAAAAGGCTGTGAGCGTATTGCTTTCCTGACTGACCAAGCACCCTCTCTAGGAGAGCTTCGAGTGCAGAGCTGTAGGCTTTTAAAGCTGTTCTTCTCAACTTGTGCTTCTTGGAAAAGTACAGTTGTGTCGATTTTTGGCAAGTCCCCTACTGAATCTAATGCCCTATAAAGCTAAATTTCAGAGGGAGAGAGGGAGAGTGTGTGTGTGGAGAGAGAGAAGGGAAAAGTGCTAGCGCTTGGTGATAGGGCTGCCAGGCAAAGTGATGAACCAGGAGGCTTCATCCAAAACTCCAAATTCACTGTGCCAACTCACAGCATGCCCGTAGGACAGGGTAGAACTGCCCCTGTGCACGTTTCTGAGGCTTTAGCTCTTTATGGGAGTGCACGGCCTCGTCTTTCTCCCTCAGAGCAGGTGGTGCTTTTGAATGACTGGTCTTGTGGTTAGCGGGCCAGTCATAGCCACCATGCCACCAGGGCTCCAGAAATAGGGGTGTTACACATAGCAGCAGTAGAGGGGGTGGACAGATAAGGCAGGGGGTCGAGGTGGGGGATTAAGACCCAGGTGTGTGTGTGTGTGTGTGTGTGTGTGTTTGTGTGTGTGTGTGTGTGTGTGTCTGGACAAAGTTCCTTGGTGTGGTGAACATAAGCGAGGGAGGTCGGCAGGCAGCTGTTCTAATTGCTTGAGCATGGAGGCACTGAGATGGCTGAAGGAGAGGTGCTTTGACCAGCAGAGATAGGGAATGTTTTGAGGCCAGAAAGTACTCTTTCTTGCCTTTGATTCCTTGTTGACTCTCCTGCAGGCAGATATTATTCTCAGCACACAAGATACAGCCCTGGCTCCCACCGCTCACGTTCGAGTGGAGGGAACAAATACTGTGCAAATCAATCCATACACATTCTGCAGGAGTGGAACAAAGCAGAGTCGGGGTGGAGAAATGAGTCTGGGGAAGCCTGCGGATGCCGTCTTAGATACATACTGTTTAGTCAGATGGCCCGTGAAGACTTCCACAGGGAGGTAGTGCAGCAAAGGGCGTGAGGGGCGGTTGTGGGCTGGCTGTGGTCAGGCAGCACTAGAGTGGCCAGTGTGGCTGGAGCAAGGAGCCGATGGGGGCCATACCGTTGAAGAGGCTTCTGGCAGAGTGAAGCCTTGGCAAGAACCCCTGCTGAGCTTGAGTTGCTTCAGGCTTTGTTGGAGGAGAGTTCCTGAGTGGTGCCGACATTGCCACTGGGAGGCTGGAGGTTTGAGTCCACCTTCGAAATGTGTGCCAGGGAAGCTTCACGGAGAGCCGCGAGTCGGAATCCACTTGACGCCAACTGGAGGTGGTACATAGTGGAGAGAGAGAGAGGCATGATTGGTTGAGAGCACACTGAGCCAGCAGCCGTGGCTCCTGTGTCTTTGTTTTTCAGCCCTGTGCTAACTTCTTTTGTGGCTTGTTTCTGAAACGCCACATCAGTGCTTCAGAACCCTCTTAGGGGCCTTTGTAAGACCACACTTGCTGGCGCCCCAGGCCTCTCGAGGAAGGATGGCCCTGGACCAGGTGAAAAATACCTGGCCCAGGGTGCTGGTCACCACTTGCCCCCATTCCAACTCAACCACTCTTCTTCCCAGCAGGAGTGGCTACCGAGATCCCTGCTGCTTCTCGCTCTTCTGTGTGAAACGAGAGCCTTCTACGTCCCTGGGGTTGCTCCAATCAACTTCCACCAGAATGACCCTGTGGAAATCAAGGTACGTGAACTCCAGGACTCTTGGAGCTCCTGTGCCATGCAAGCCAGCTAGAGGGCCGCATGGAGCTGGCTCATGTATCTCCTGTGGTCTCCTCGTGGCACAGAGCAAAGGCCAGTGGCAGTGCCCCATGAAAAGAAGGGCTCACTGGCAGGAAGTAGGGTGTCCGCAGAAACTCTGACCTTCCATCTCTCTCTCGGCCTCTGCCTGTGAGTGGAGCCCCTCTGTCTCTCTTTCTGTGTCTTCTCTTTCTCTTGGTTTCTTCTCTGTCTCTGTTCTGGCTCTTTCTGTGTTGCCTTCTTTGTGTGTCTCTGTCACTCTCAGCCTGCCGCTGCCTCTGTGATACCCCTGCTTCCCTCTCTCACCTGCTACAGCCTTCTCTGCCTACCTTGTTCACAGCTTCTCCTGAGTGGTCAGTTTCCACCTGCACCAGCCTGCCTACCCAATTCAGTATTTCCAAATTGTGTGCTGCCTGCCCAATTGGTGCCGGAAAGGCTCTCAAGTGACTCCTGAAGAGATTCCCAGAATTACTTTCTTGTAGTGTATACTAAGAAATGGAGCTAGTACATCAGCTCATGATTTGGAAGTTATCATAGTTGTCCAGTTTTAAGAGAGATAATGATTGCTTATTAAGTAAATCACATAATTTGATAAAATGACGCAGAGACAAGGGAATAGTGGGAGAAGGGCTAAGTAAAGAGCCGGGCAGGCCAGTGAATGAATGAGCACGGTTTGGGAAATGTTGTGCCAATTAGAGTCCAGAGGAAAGGCACCCAGCTGGGCCACCTCACCTTTCCCAGCTCGTGCCCACCTTTGGCCCATTAGCCCCGACAGGGTGGGGAGTAGAGGGTGGTGGGACTGCATTGAGCCAGCTGACAGCACAAGGGATGTCTGTGCAAACATGGGTTCCTTATGGCTTTCTCAGAGCCCCGAGGCGGACGAGTCGGCCTGAGGCAGGTTCCCGGGAAGCAGGCTCTGAAGTGGCCATCTCGGTATCCGGAGATTTCCAGGGACAGCTCATTTTATGCACCATTTTTGGTTGATTCTGTTTTACCCATAGTTTGGGGGTTGTCTGTAATGACCTCTTATACCTCTTCCAATGTTAATCAAGGTATTTGTGTTGACTGTCACTGAAATCTGGACAGCTAAATCGCCAAGCTGTTATTGTATGTGTGCAGCATGTCTGTTTCTCTAACCTCTGCCCTGTTAGCCTGCCTCTCTCAGGTGACTTAGTTCCTTATGTCCCAACCTGCAGTGTAGTAACAGGGGCTCTAGGTCAGCCACGTTTCTTTACTGTACATCTTCCCAGAGCCTGCAACAGGCATGGGGGTGTGGAGGGGTGGGAGGAAGTTGCTGGGAAGTGTGGCATTTGTTCAGAAGCCATCTGGCACCACTCCCAGAGCCCTGGTTGCAATGCTTGCATCATTTCCCAAGCATTCGCCATGGCCTTCTTAAGCCTCGTTTGGAATGGCTGCGTAATGTGCCACGTATGACTGAGTCCTGGTTTACTCCCTGATCTCCCATGGTTTGGGTTCTTGGTGGTGATTGTGTTTTGCTTTCCATTTTCTTCACGATTCATATTCAGCAAACACATGATGAGCACCTACTCTGTGGACCCACAGAAGTGACCAAGGTGCCCATGGCTTTTCCCTCCTCGAGCTTCGATCAGGAATTCTAGTGTACGAGGCCAAGAAACAACAACCAGTCAGCAGAATGATTACATCTCAGCAGACGTGCTCTGAAGGGAACGAAGAGTGCTGGAATGGAGGGCGGGGGGGCTTGCTTCAGAGGAGGAGGACAGTGAAGCCCTCCCAGGTGAGGGCTTCAAGCTGAGACCTAAGTGAGAAGAGGAGCTGAGCATATACCAAGTAGGTCAGGCGGCAAGGGCCGCAGGTTCAAAGCCCGAGGTCGGAGAGAGCCTAAGTGCTCAAGGAACTGAGGGGAGACAGCTAAGGTTATGAACCTTTGTGCCTCGAGTTCTTTCCTCATTTGAAGTTACAGCAGGGCTTCCGGAAGTTTGTGGGGTGGAAAACAGAATTAAAAAGGATGGGATTTGTCCACAGACTTTAGGACGGATTCCCAGAAGTGAAATTATTGGAACAAAGGAAATCAATATGGTCATATATATTGAACGTGGTCGTGTGTGTATATGTAACATAGTCTGTAACTATTGCACTGCAGTTAGTCTGCTTCTTAGATAATTTTGTCAAGTGTACTAGAGATGTGTGCATGCCAGGGAGGATGTACTGAAACGTCATCTTGGTCCAGGAGATTTCTGCTGGAATTATGGACAAGGGCCTCTATTCTCCCACCAGGCTGTGAAGCTCACCAGCTCTCGCACCCAGCTACCTTATGAATACTACTCACTGCCCTTCTGTCGGCCCCGCAAGATCACCTACAAGGCGGAGAATCTGGGTAAGTACTTCTTCAGGCTGCTCCCAGCTCTGTCCATCATAGCAATGGCACTGAGCCTTGGGCAGCGCTCACTGTGTGCCTGGCACTGTTGGGCTGGGTTAGTGTGTTTGGTGTTAGTTTTAGTTCTCTTCATCCTGCCATATCAACCCTGGGGAGGTAGTTACTGTTTTGACCCCACTTTACAGGTTGCAGGAAGCAGTTACAGTCTTGGAAACTCATAGGGGCAGTTCTACCCTGTCCTGTAGCGCCGCTATGAGTTGGCAGTGAGTTTGTTTTTTGTTTTTTTTCCAAATAATTAGACAGGAGCCTTGGTGGCAAAGTGGTTTACTCCTTGGGCTGCTGATAGTAAGGTCAGCAATTCAAATCTACCGGCTGCTCTGCAGGAGAAAGTTGAAAGGCGAGCACTCTGCTCCTATAAAGACTTGGAGCCTCAGGAAGCCTGTGGAACAGTCCTGCTCAGCGCTGTGGGGCTGCTGTGAGTTGGGATGGACATGGACACAACGGGAGTGGGGGGCTGCTATGAGTTGGGACGGACATGGACACAACGGCAGTGGGTGAGGCTTACAGGTTCCTTGACCTCTGTTGGCTCAAGCCATAAGTTAATGGCTGGTCTAGGCTCCGAATCCCCCATCCTGGCTTCAGGCGGGGACCTGTTGGCTACTCCTGAGCACTGGCGCTCCTTTCATTTCCAGTGAACACCTCTGTCTTGTGACTTTTGTCACTTTGGCTGCTAACAGAATGATCAGTGGTTCAAACCCTCCAGTGGTTCTGCAGGATAAAAGAGAGCTGACGATTTGCTCCTGTTAAGATTACAGCTAAAGAAACCTAGTAGGGCAGCCCTTACTAAAACAATTTAAAATAAAATAAAATAAAATAAACAATTAAAAAAAAAAAAACCTAGTGGGGCAGTTCTCCTCTGTCCCACAGGGTCTCTGAGAGTCAGGATTGACTCACCCAAACACAACCACTGTCTGTCCTAAAGCAAGCCGAGAAAGCTCCATCAAAGCCACTCTCCCTCTTCACGGTGATGCTGACCCTAAGAATAAGGGGGTTTTCAGGGATAAGGGAACAACAAGTGATCCAAATCGGTGGTGAGGAGGGCGTAGAAGGCCTGGTATGGAGTGACCAAGGGTAATGTAACCAAGAGGAATTACTGAAACCCAAATGAAGACTGAGCATGATAGTGGGGCAAGAGG